ACTATAAGTATACCACATTCTAGTTACCACTTGAATAAGGTGTTGGAATCCGTGCGTTGAATTGTCATTCATTCAACCAGTAACTATATCAGAATATTTTGTTATTCACTTTTTTGGCTCAGTACAAAATGTCTTTCTCCAAGTATACAATTTACCCTTGTATAGGCCCTCTCCCGACCCTCACAACCCTCTCACCATGGTTGGTTCGAAGGGTGTGCAAACTGGCCAACCACACAGGCTCCATATTCTTAAATTTATCATTAATTTTGAAGCCTAAATATTTTAAAATAATAAAATAGAACCCAAAATGTAAGATTTGAACTGAACTAATTTCATTTTTTCATTTTTCGAGACCAACCCCGCCTCGGGCCGAAGGTCAAGGTGCTCATTGATGATGATTACGTCGGTAGATTACTCCCCCTACTCCTTCATTCATCCCCCCTTCTATCTCCCCAAACAAATTGTCTTGACACTATAGTTGCAAACCAATCAAATCAAATTTTCAAAAAAAAAAAAAATTCAAATTCGGTTTGAATATTTTCTAACATTTGAAGCGGGTTCGTTAGTGATCTACAAGGAATTCAATTAAAAATTCAATTCATTTAATAATATTCAATTCGTTAAGAAAATATATGGTTCATGTATTATTATTATTATTATTATTATTATTATTATTATTATTATTATTATTATTATTATTATTATTATTATTATTATTATTATTATTATAGGAAGAAAAAAAACAAAGTTAGAAACTGCATTCATAATTTTCATTGTATATGTTCTCCCAAATGGTAAATGTTATGGTCAACGAAATGTCTACAATAATTTTCATTGTAAACAAATACTCCGAGTAGTTACTGTTCTTATAAACCTTTTTTTGTAAATTAAAAAAAACTTACTTCCTCTATTCTGGAGTATTTGTCCTTTTTTTTACTTTTTCAATCAAAATTGGTAATTTTTGACCTAAAACTAAATAAAAATGATATTAGATATTGATACAAGAATAATTTTATTAGATTTATTATACAAAAATTTTCGAAATATTATTTTATCTAATTAATATACAATATCTATTTTATTGAATTATATTGGTCAAAGATTAAAAACATTGACTGAAAAAAGTCAATACTTTCTTCAGTCTTCACATAAACCCATCATCATAGGTAATTATGTCTCAAAATTTTCTTTTCATTTAACTTTTATAAAAATTTTGACCATTAATACTTATATACTTATATATAAATATATTTTATAAAAAATTACTAATTTAAAAAACACTTTAAATATCAGATCATAGTCTATTGTTTTCGAAAAGTCAAAATTGTAATTTTTTACTCTAAAAAGCAAATGGTAGTCAACACGTCAATTGCAACGCCGTTACGTTTTTATTTGTCCCCTGGCATTATCTTAAACGGCGTACTCCGCCCGTAATTTGAAGAAATTGATTGTGTGCGGGTGAATAATGTTGTTTAGAGCATCTACAATGGAAAGTGTAAAAATAGGTAGGCTATATTAAGTTTTACACTACCAATAGTGTTTTATACATCCATTTTTTGATATCCACTCCAACCATATCTTCTATATAATAAACTTATATTATATTTTAATATTTTAAGTTATTTCATTGTGATAATATATGTAGTTTTAAAAATTTTATTATAGAGTATAAAAGTTATGGTTATAGAGTATTAAGAAACAAAAAATTAGTGAATGAAAATATAATTAAAAATCAATAATGTACTATAACATTTTAGTAAAAAAATTATTTATAAAAGTAATTGAAAGAGTAATAATAATTAAATAACGGTTGGATATTATAAATAAATTATATAAGAAAAGAAAAACAAACAAAAATAATTATGCATTATTTTAGTAACAATTTTTTACAAGATGTGAATAGGAGAGTGTATATATAGAAGTTGAGAATTGCATTTTGCACTATAGTGCATTATTTACACTATCCATTGGAGGGGTTAAAATGTGTATATTGTAGTGTATAAAGTGTATATTTAACAATATACACTTTTTACCCTCTCCGTTGGAGATGCTCTTAGGGGTTGTAAAAAATCCAAAATACCACAGTACTAAATCGTTTATAGTGTTTTTAAACAAAATTGATTTTTTTCATCATAAACCAAAACCGAACCAATATCAAATGGAATGGGACCGTGATACATATATTTAAAGCTGATTATCACGAACCGAACTGTCCAACGCTATATACGGAGTACGTATCTCAAATAATTATGGAGTATTTGTCTACTGTATATAGAATAATTTGTATTTTATTATTCCTTTTTAGACTCTCTCATTATTATTATTATTGTTAATACATTTATCATTACTATTAGCATTTTTTTAGTTATTAGTATTCCGATATCATATAAATTGGGAAATTTTTTTTTGTAACTTTGGACTCGTTATCTTTTATTCTTTATGTTAATGATCCGTTTAAATTTGAAATCGATACTTTTATTTAACAAACTTGTGCTTTTTTATATAAATTTATACATAAAATTCAATATTCTTTGACTAATGTACATTCATTTTTTTTTGCACGGTTTGAGCATGGGTATGGTATTGTACCGTTCCATTTCAAAATGAAACGGTACCTAATGGACCGCGCCCACCCCTAAATTGTTCTTTTTAAAGCATCTTTGTTGAGTTTTGGAGGTATAGGTTCTGTTTGGAAAACAACTTTTTTGGATAGATTTTAGCATCTTTGATTGACTTTGACTTGTTTGACTTATCGAACCGTCAAAACCATTGTTTGGGTAATGTCTTTTTCACTTGGCTTTTTTATCCGAAAAGCCAAAATCCGAAAAGCAAAGGGAAGTAGCTTTTGAATTGGCTTTTAGAAAAAAATTATGTTAATCATTTTTCTTAAAAGATATTTTATAATATATGCAAAAGAATTAAAATAAAAGTTAAAAAATCCAAAAAATTAAATAAAATAAATTTTAAATTTTAAATTTTCAAAAAGAAAGAGAAAATAAAAAGTAAAAATTAAATCATTAAAAAGTTATATATTAATAATTTCTTATGAATTATATGAAAATGAAATTTTATGCTCCGCATATTAACAATTTAATTGTTACATGTACAAAAATAAAAAAAATTGTTTTTTATTTTTGTGAAAAATGATAAAAAAAAGTTATCTTAAACGAAATTGTTTGTAGAAATTTAAATCGTGATTTAATTAGTGACAAGCGGAGGTGATCACCGGTAATGGTTGCCGGTGGGCGGTGGCGAAGAATGGTAAACGGTTGAGAGATATCGAACTCTCATTTTGATATTTACCAAATTTGAGAGATATTAAAATACTTTATTTAGAAGATTTGTAATATTTAAAGATATTAAATTCAATATCTCTTTTAATTTGGCTCCACCAAACACCAAAAAATGGTTCTAATATTGATCTAGAGATAACAAAACTCATACTATTATCTCTTTTGCTCACTAAACTAACCCTTAGTTGCTTTCATACCATCACTATCAGTGTTGTATGTGTTTGTTCAATTTTATAATTTCAACATTTTAATTTTAAACATAGAAGTGAAACTGGAACACTAAATTTTTAAAAATTTGGGATAGCTTCCTTGTCACTATGTGACTTCCACGTTGGTGACTAATGTTAAAGTGGGACAAAAGCGCCACAAAAGTCACAAAATATAAATTCCACTTTATTAAATATTTGAAACTATTTATTCTTCTAGTTGGTTAATAAATGATACATTTACACGTTTTGTAACATTTTTTATTTTTGACTAGTATTCTTGATTACCCATACAATTCTTATATGGTGAAAAAATATAGTAAAATAATCGTCAGTTTAGTAACATTTTTTATTTTTGACTTTAGTATTCTTGATTACCCACACAATTCTTATATGGTGAAAACATTTATTCTTCATGGTATCAGAGCTAGGATCTTATTTTCAAAAGCCTACTCTCTCTTCTTTTACGGCCATACGCCATCGCCAGTTTTCATCATCGATGGTCGACTGCCACTGATCATATATGGCTTCGCTGACCGTTATCTCTCTCTTTCTGTCTAGACAATTATGAGCGCGTATAACCACCGTCATCTCTTATCCTCTTTCTCTCCAAAAAAAAGTACGAACATATGTGTACGTGATCGAATAATTAGAAAGTTGCATTCATGCTAATTTATACAAAGTAAATAAAATAAATTTTAAACCAATGAAATTTTATGTTAAAAGTAAAGAAGTGATTTTTTTTCCTTAGAAATGATTATGCCTCATAAAATAATATTAGGAGAATTTTTTTCTCATACTAAGCGGACCGGCAAAGTTTGTCAAAGACGCGCAAATTATACTATACAACCGACTATACCTAAAATTGGGTACAACTCGTAAATCAAAAAAGAAAAGGCGTCGATCAGAGGAGAAAGGAGGTGCTCATAATCCAGTCAGGTCCGAGGAAGGAAGCTGCGTCGGAGGAGAGCTGTGTCGGATCGGGAGGAAGAAAGCTGTTGTATGGAAGGGAGATGTGCACGGACGATCGAGGAAGCTGTTGATAGGCCGGAGGAGAGATGCTGTATGAAAAACCTAGTAGAGGAGTCGATCGATCGGAGGAGAGGGTAGCGGGTCGGGTGAGAGAAAAAAGAAAATTATTTGTGGTATGAATTTTATTTATCTGAGAATAAACATTAAGTTTTTTGAGAATAAGTACTTATTTTATTTCAGAACGTACACTACGTTTTCTGTAGATAAATGATGGTACTGAATTTTCCAATTATGAAAGAATTGAACAATACTTTATTTGGGAATGAGAGTTTCTTTATTTGAGAATGGCTATTGTTTTTTTTTAAATGAACACTATGCTATTTATTATAATTATATTAAACAAATGTGTAAAAATGAGTACTTCATTATTTTAAAATAGAAAATACCTTATTTCCAAATGAGTATTACGTATTTCGAAATGAATGTTTATATTTTGTACTAGAATGAGCACTGCTTTTCTTCGGAATAGCTTCTCTCAAAGACTCCCTCTCTAGTCTCTACTCTCTATATATTGTATGAGTGCGGGTCGGGTCGTCATGAATTCCCTCCCCCAACAAAACTAAGTTAAATTACTCTCGCCGTCGTCAATTTCGGTGGTTAGGGATGGGCGTTTCCGGCGCCGCGGCGTCGGCATATGAATGGTTTTGTAATACTGTGTTGGTGAATCGCTGGACATTTCTTTTCCTCTCCCCCGTTGTGGCAATTTCGCTCCCCAGACGCGTCGGATTCGACTGGAGGCTCGACGGCGCCACCTTCTTCGTAGTCCTCTTCCTCTATATGTCGTGGATGAACAGTGAAGGCGACGGCGGCGGCGGCGGCGGCGGCGACGACGGCGGCGACGGAGACGACGGCGTCGGAGTATTTGAGATGTATAAGCAGTACTTTCTTCCTCTGATTGCTCTGATCGTACTGGTCCAAGGCTATTCCTCGCGATGGAGGCTGTCGCTTGCATTTTACGCCTTGGCCGTTATTGTGTTCCTCTCGTTGCTCCCTACTATTTTGACGGCGATTTTTACCATGGCGACGGCGTTTCTTGCGGCGATTATTGGTGGGGGAGATTCCGACGAAGAAGAGGACGGCGACGACGGCGACGATGACGACTAGCTGTAGAAGAGCCCAGTGCAGTGGTTCTTTGCCTTAGCTTTTTTCTTTCTTTCTTTTTCTTTTTGTTTTGATTCATAAAAAATGAAATTTTCGACTTTTTCAATGTGATAAAATAATATTTTTATCACAATTATTTTCCGGAACAAAATTAATCTACACCTAAAGGAGGAAATAAATTAAAAATGGTAAGATTTGAAAAGAGAAATCCGAAGGAATTATTTATTTTCTTTCCATTGGTACGTTCGTTTTTGTTTTAATCTTTTCTTACCATATTTGTGAATAAAAAATAACAAAAATGGTAACAATTTTTGTTTCCATCCGAAATAAGTAATGAAAGTATGAAATAACAAAAATGGTAAGAATTAAAAAAAAAAGAAAACAGGAGCAAACCGTGAGTTATAATGTTTTTTTGATTTTTTTTTTATTTTAAATAAAATTAGTAATAATGAACAAAAGGCTAATAATATAAAATTTATAAAGTAATAAATGTAATAAATCGCAGAAATAGACAATGGTAATAGTTAGAAAATGCAAAAAGAAGAATGTAATTTAACATTTGTTACGTTAAAAATAATGGAAATTTCACCAATTTGTTTCCTTTTCGAAAATATTTTTTGGTATAAATTATGATCTGGTCCAAGGCTTTGCTGAGGACATATTTACGAAATCGATGAAATATTGATCTCGAATTTTAAAACAAACACACATTAAACAATAAAGGGTATGTCGTCAACCCTGGACAAAATTGATGATGGTTTAGATGCGTTCATGGTAAAAGTGCGAGCTGTAAGGGTTTATCGAACCGCTGCGCATGATCGAACGCCTGAATCTCTTGATGTTATCTTTTATGATCAAAAGGTTTGTTATAACTTTTATTCGATCCAGATTCATTACATTTATTAAACAAATAATTGTTATTAAATAAACAATTATTTCTTGATTTACAGGGAAATCGAATTCATACGCAGATAAGATATTCAAATATCAATACTTTCAAAGATATCCTTTTATAATGATACCAATATAAATTTATAACGTAATTGCGAGCCGTGCAACGCACGGATGTGATACTAGTTAGAACTTAAAGAGAAAATAAATCAGTATATAAGTTCTTGAGTTGAACTAAGTGATCGATTGAATTCAATCTTTTAATACGGTTTAATCCAAGTATCTTATGACACAGTTCTGTGGTCTCTACTCCATCTTAAATTTTATCAGTAGATTATTACAAAGTATATAAAAAATATGATGTAATAAGTATGGTAAGAATTAAACTCTATTTTTTGGGTTGGAAAAATTAATTTCCAACTTCTTTGAGTTTCTTCTAATTCCTTTCAATTTCTTCCATTTTCTTTCACTTTTCGTCAACAACGACTTGAGAAAAATATTTATATATGATTAATATATAATAACATTATATATCCAAATTTATAACATAACACATCAAACATAAACAAAGATGAATTCTTTTTTATCTAAAATTAAAGTTTTTTTGCATATTTATTTTAGTGAATTTTTAACACTTTAATTCTTCCAACATTTTTTAACTCCTAATTTTTTTAGCTTCTTCCAGTTGTTTCCAACTCGTAGTTTCTTCCAACATCTTCTCATCCAAAAGAACAGAGCCTTATATGGGTAAAGTGATTTTTTAAAATAGAAATTAGTGATTTTCAGCCATAGACTTGATATTCTTATGATCTTGGTGTATGTAGATGATATATTCGTTGTTGGCAAGAACCCCGGTTTGTGTTCTTTCACACAATATTTGGATAATTATTTTCATCTCAAGGATTTAAGGCCTTTGAAATATTTCACTAGGGTCGAGTGTGCTTGTTCCTTGACAGGTATGGTGTTGTGTCAATGCAAGAATGCGTTGGATATTCTACAAGAAGTTGGTTTGTCGGTATATAAACCTGTAGACACACTTCTTCAGCCAAACCAAGCATGGTCTTGCTCATTCGATATCGACCTAAGTACGTGATCTGTCACGCTACAGATATATCGTGGATCATCTCACTTATTTGATTATCACCAGGCTTGAGTAGGCATTTTCAATTTATGTACTTTCTCAATTTATGCATGCACCCAAACTTGATCATTTAGTAGCTACCATGTGCGTTCTCCACTACATCAAAAGATATATGGGGCAAGGTGTTTTTCAGTCTGACAGTAGTCTTCATATCACCACCTTTTGTGATTCAGATTGGCAAGTTTCCTGTTATCCCATCAGTTTGTCAGCGAGTATTTTGTTATGTTGGGTAGTTCTTTTGTCTCTTAGAAAATCAAAAAGAAAACCACTATAGCTACATCATCAGCCGAGGCGAAATATAGATCCATGACAAATGCCTGTGCCAAAATTCGTTGGATATAAAGCATATTTTGTGTGCTCTCAGTGTCCCTATTCTGTATCCTCGATTATTTGTCCATATTTTGTATTATCCTCGATTATTTGTGATAATCAGTGTGCATTTTTCATTACAACTAAATTGGTGTTTCATAAGAGGATGAAACACATTGGTATGTATTGTGATATTGTTCGAGAATATGTTCAGAGACGTGATGTTTTCTCTCATTATGTTCCCACCAGGTTTCAGCATGCAGATTTGTTCACCAAAGCTTTGTCTCATGCCCTAAGCCCACTTTTCTTTTCTTATTATCCAAGTTGGGTATTCAGAATATTCATTCGTCAACTTGAAGGAGAGTGTTAGCGGGTAGTTATTGGTAAATGGGCTTAGGTAGCTTATGGACCCTGTTTAGGGTCTACATATATTCGTGTATATATACTTTCCTTAGGCATTGTGGATACCAGAACAGTTTTACTAAATATATTTACAGAGAAAGACTTTTAGAGGCGGGAGGAGTATACTGTTAAAGAATTACTAGAATTTTGTTTACGTCTTTAAATGAACTTCCTTGTTTGAGTTTTATGAAATTTAAGAAAAAAATATAAAGTAAAAAAAAGGTAATTAGAATTTAATTAGAGGAGAGATTTTCTTCTTTTTTGGCCACATAATTCCTTCCTTTTGAAGAAAGTGAAGATTGTTTTGCGACGTCTAAAAAAAGAAAGAAAGAAGATTATTTAATGACGGAGAGAGTAATATATATTGTTGTCCCTTGGGCTACTTAGGGATCTGTGGACAAAATAGTCCAACTTTAATTTTTAATGTTCTTGGAGTGGGTCTTTGATAGAAATATGTTTAGGAAAAAAACATTCTATTTTGAATTTTTAATCACAATAATCAAAACATTATACTCTGTAATATGGGAAATGCTAGTGGTACACAAAAAAGTGTACCTCATTTGCAAACCAAGACAAACACATATATAATATCAATCCCCAAACGGATATAAAATATTTGTGTTTACTATGTGTGTGTGTGTGTATGAATGATATGTTCTGGACTCCATTTACGAGCATGAACTCCGCACCTTCTAACTCGGTAAACAACATCTAATCAAATTCATGTCTGATCTAAGTAAATCCAATTACATAAAATAATCGATGACACTAAAATTACCAACTAACAAGAGATACAAATTAAAGCTACTACTCCACTAATCTACAACGTAACTTTCTCTGTCCCGAATCAATTAACATATTTCCTTTTTCAGATTGTCATAAAAAAGTTAACACGCTTTCAAGGTCGTTCGTGAAGATTCAAGTGGCCAGGGAAAATGGTCATTACGCTCTAATGAATTAAATCACATATAGGGCCTGTTTGGGAATAGCGTTAGAGATTAGCGTTAGCGTTTTCAAAAGGCTATCTACGGGCAGCGTTTAGCGTTACCATTTTCAAATTAATCTGCACCGTTAAAATTTTATCCAAAACGCTAACGCTAATCTCTAACGCTATTCCCAAACAGGCCCATACTAAGTTTCTTTAACAACACACTCCTTACTTTCCTAATAAAGTCAAAGATTTATGGTCTAATTTTTTTTAATTTCTTCTAAAAAAACTTCAAGCACTCACTTTTCATTGTTTGAAATTATTATTTTTTTGAAAAATTGTTTAAAATTATTTTTAAAGTACTTAAAATCAAATTCCTCAAATTAAACCGAGAGGGCATAATAAAGCATTCAATAACAAAAGATGATGGACGCTATTATTGGAATACTTTTGACCACAACAGAGAAAACAAAGCCAAAGTTGGGAGCCGCGTCCCTAATTTTCGTCTTATGTTACCCAAAAAGTCCTTTTTAAAAAAAGACTCTCAAAAAGTCATTTGCATAATCGTTACGTTATTACTGCCCATAGTTTGAATTATTAACCAATGAAATTTGATCATAAATTACGTAAATATTGATTGCATAGTAATAGTAGTGAAAAAAATATATTTTATTCTATACTAAATCTTGTATAAAATTTTCAAAGATTTATTTTATTACAGTTTTACATGATGTAGTTTTTATTTAAGTGACTAAAAAGAGTATTTGTTTCCTAGGCACTATTTATTCTTCATATTTTTAGGAGGGAGAGAGTATTTATTTCAAGTATTTTTATTAATTTCATTTTTTATTATTATTAGGTAAATAATACTTCCTCCGTCCCTGAAAACTTTTCTTCTTTCTTTTTTTATCTGTCCCAAAAACACTTCTTATTTCTATTAAAAAGTCACTTTTACCTCTTACTTTTTCATACCCTACCTATCACTTATTCACATCATACCATTTTACTAATAATCTACCCATCAAATTCTACTTTTACAATCACATCAAAGGACATTTTTGGAAATTCAATACCAAAATACACTCCTCTTAAATTCCTTCAAAATCAAAACATCTCATATTTAAAGGGACAGAGAGAGTAAATAACAAAAATGAAAAATAAAAAATAAAAGAAGAAAATAAAAATAAATATTAATAATTTCCTTCCCCTCTCCCAACCAGATAAGGTGAAGGGAAGCACTTTCATCCCTTCTGATTCTCTCTCATCCTTTCCTTCTCTTCCCCTTCCTCCCAATCAAACAGACCCTAAGTGTTATGTTGAGAATTTGTGCAAAAGATAGAGCTTCCTAAGGTCGAGGGGTGTGGAAGCCGTGATCGGCCATCCCGGGTGCAACCGCCCCCTCACCCATGAGCGTGATCGAAGAGTTATTGTAGCAATTCAGTGTTTTGCGGAAGGGGACATGGGTGGAGTGCTGGAAGGATTTGGGGGGGGATTAAGGGATAAAAACCACTTTTGAATCTAGTGAAATAGTGCAAGTGTCTGATGTCATTCAATGACACTCCGATTCAATGTCAATTGAATCAAATTGATCTTAAAAATGATGAGATTTTTTCAGTGTTAAACAACATCAAAATATTGGAATATTCCAATGTTAAGACCATCTTACTTCTTAATTGCAGTCTCACAAGTTGTCACAAGAGATTTATTTCAAAAATTATTTTTTATTCTCACCCCCTGACTCTCGAGTAAACCGCCCTAACCCGCCCCCTCCCCAACGCACGCCCGAACCCCGCCAATTTATTACATCTATTTTTTATCTTGTATGTTTTGGTCCTTTTTGTATCTCGGACACTATGGCCTCATACTGAGTCCCAAGTGACATAAACCACAATCAATTCAAAATTCTCATCCGTAAAAGTTTCACAAAAATTGGCACGGTTATTTAAAAAGTGAAATTGTGTTAATTAAAGTTGTGCACTAGAAAGAAATAATATAACCCACAAAAATGTTACATAAATAAAAGCAAAGCAAACAAAATGAAAAAAAATAGATGGGACGCTCTATCCAAGTTACAACAAGTTTTTATTGTTTATGGAACGGAGGGAGTATTTGATTTATCTCTAAGCTCAAATTTCGATAGTTTTAATATGTTTCATTACATCTTCATGGAGACTGATTTAAATGTGGGAATTGCTGGAAAAACACCCCATAATTTCTTTTAGGCTCCGTTTGACACACGGAATTCAAATTATGAAATTGGAATTGAGAATAACAATTCCAATTCTGTTGTTTGGTAGCATAAAAATATGTAGATTTAAAATTGGTAGTGCCAAAAATAAATTTATATTGGAGAATTCAAATCCGTTCAAAATTATTTCTATAGAATTTCAACTTCCAATTCAATTTCAATTCAATCAATTCCGTGTACCAAACAAACTCTTAGACCCCGTTTGGTACACGGAATTTAAACAATGGAATTGGAATTAAGGACTTCAATTCCAATTTTGGTGTTTGGTAGCACAAAAAGTATGTAGATTAAGAATTGATAGTGCAAAAAATAAATTAGAGTTGCTGAATTCAATTCTATGGAATTGAATCCCATGAAATTTCAATTCCAATTCCATCAATTCTGCATACCAAACAGACCCCTATTGTTTTATTATTTTTGAAAAATTAAGCATTTAAAATTCTTGACAAATTCTAACCATTCTTTTTTACGGAGTACTTTTCTAACATTCGTGAGACGAAGGGCAGCATGTGCACACACTGTGGCAGTAAAATAGATTTTGAGCTACCAAATCAAAGAGTAAATTCCATATGTGGTCTCTTGACTCTTATAACATGTGATTTTCTATATTTGGTTCCCAATTCTAATATATTAGATTCATGGTTCACAATTAGTCTTTTATGCCAAATATGACCAATGTTTTTCTCTCACATTGTCTCCAAAAGGATTGATTATGGAATAGTTTTCAAAAATTGAGGATCACGGATGTAATATCTTAGAGTTGAGGACTAAATATGAAAAATCACCTGTAATAAGGGACCAATTATAGAATTTTACACTAAATCAAACGTCCTTGAAAACGGAAACTGTGAAGTTTAGTTTTAGGCGGAGAGAGAGCATAAAAGAGTGAAAACGAAAGCAAACACGCCTTCTTCGAATGAATTGCACGATATGTCCATCTCGTGAAGAACATATAATAAACTTTATTTGATCAATAACAAAATCCACACTTTTTATGACTATATATAACACAATCCAGGAAGGTCTTGAGGCACTTGATAATCTATGCATATTTTAAATGAGTAGAGAAAACAAGAGTATACTTACGTATGAAAGACTATGCAAATATGATGATACAATGGTGTGGCTGTGAGTGGCGAGAGCAACATGACGCCTACGTGAGCTCCTTCCTCCTTGCCTGCAAAACCCGTTCACTCCAATCACATGTGTGACGACATTGTTGCCATGTGAGAGCTCCATATTGCACTGCAAAGACCTGGCCAATCATCAAAACCAAGACTAGTCATTAAAAACCCGGTTGTTCTGTTTAACTTTGAGATCACGAGGGAATTGATTGATATAGTGCTTGTTTGGTAATGTTTTTTTTGTTTATATTTTGCACCATACACTAACTTGTTTGGTAGAGGATTTGATCTTTTTCTTTTGGGTGGGAACTGGGAAATGGCTGAAGTTTGAAGAAAATGAATTCTAAAAAGGTTGCGTGTTTGACCGGGAACGGTTATTAAGAAACTGAAATTGTGTGATTAAGATAATATTTATGCAGAAGAGAAAAATAATAAGAACCACACAATTATTTCCTTAATCAAATGATGAACTCTATTTTGGGATGGATAGGAAAGGAAATGGGGCTCCCTATTTTTGAAATTGAGCAAGTACTGATTTCTTACATTTATTAAATAAATACTACCTCCATTCAGGAGTATTCATTCCGTTTGACCAAATTGCAAGAACCCTAAAGAGCTAAAATCATTGTGGGAAAATCAGTTAAGAGAATCCCCAAATTGACCCTACCCAATCCCACATACACACCGCCTAACCTAAACCCAAGCCACCAATGCACGTGACCCAAGTCTGACATGGAATCCATTAATACTACGTATTGCACAAGAGATGCAAAGGGAGGATTTCAGTTTTACCTTTTAACCCCTTGAATACAATTGAATTTTACTAATGGTGTAAGGACTAGAATGGTCCACACAACTACTTAACACCATATAAATACATGGATTTCTACACAAATGCATGTACTTAAGCAGCCAAAACTGGAATTGTATGTGTACATGTCCAGAACCAGGGGAAAAAAATCAAAACTTGAATAACTAAGAACAACCCAAACACTCAAGAATGTGGAATCACTTCATAGTTTAAGGTAGATTTGTCACCAACCACATATTCCATGTTGATGCATAGAATGGACTTTGCACACAACGAACAAGAAGGATACAATGAAGCTTCACAAAATTACAGAACCTAAGAAGTTAGAATGGACAAACTGAAAAAAATACTCCATCCGTCACGGTGTTTTCGTCCACTTTCTTTGGCGCTTGAGGCAATGAGAAAGAAATAAGAGGAGAAAATTATTAATTTGACCTTGCTTGGAGCAGAGCAAAGGAATCAGAACTGCAATACGTTTTTCTTTTTGACATGTGAATTGACAAAGAACCAGTGTTTGAACTCTGAATCAAACTCAAAGCATCCATCTTTCCCGTATACACAATGAAGTAAAAAAAATATCAGAAGATTTTTTCCAAACTTGGACTGGAAAAAAAAGTGTCGGAGCAACAAAAAATAAATGAAATCTCAGATCTACCGTTAACTACCTCGAATCCAGCAGAACAGTTACCAGAAGGTAAGAGGGAGGCCATCATCAGGGAAAAAACTTTTGTGCTGGTGTCGTCGATCAGCTACCGTCTTTGACCAGGGTCCCGCCAAGTACTGGAAGAGCCACCGTTGTGACCGGATATGTGCTCTCAAAAAGATGTCCCCTCAATGTTCTTGTTTGAAGAACGGAAGAAGAAAAGGGACATAAGCTATCTATTTTGGTTGGATAAGTTTTACATTTAGGCTTTGTTCTTTTCGATTGGAATTCTAAAGTTCGATGTTGGAAGAAACTGGAAGGAGTTGAAAAAAACCGAAAGGCGTTGGAAGAAACAATAAGTTGGAAAAAACTAAAAGGAGTTGGAAAATGTTGGAAAAAATAAAGTGTTAAAAAATCACTCATTTAAATGATCGCCCAAATAAATATGTAAGAAAATTAATTTTGAATATAAAAAAAATTCATCTTTGTCCGTGTTTGAGGTGGTATCATTGTTATGTTATAAATTTAGATATATAATGTTATTGTATAGCCATCATATGTAAATACATTTTTTAAGTCATTGTAGGATGAAATTGGAAGAAGTTGGAAGAAATTGGAAAAAATTGGAAGGAGTGAAAAAGTTGGAAGCTAATTTTTTCACCCGAAAAGAACAGAGCCTTGGTTGGGGGTTAATGGGTCCATCACATAATACTTCACATTAAATAGAAAGTGGACGAATACATCAAGACAGTCCAAAAAGGAAAAAAAAATAAAAACCGGACAAACCCAACGGGATAGAGGGAGTATTAAACAGAAAAACAAATCAATGACTTTCAATTTAATTCTCCAATGGTGATGAAAAAAGGGATGGGAAATTCTGTTTCTGCCAGGATAAAGAAAGAAAATTAGACTGGATAAGGTAACCCAGTTGATCTCTTCTGCTCAAGCAAAAACTTCTCTAGATTTTATGTGAACAGTGAGCGCATATTGAGCTTTTAGAAGCAAACATTTACTTTTGATGGTTATGGACAAACTGACAAACAGATCACATGGCGCATATTGAACTTGCAGAAGTAGATATTTTCTTTTGATGATTATGTACAAACTGATAACATGGCGCAGATTGAGCTTTCACTATACATTTACTTTTGATGATTATGGACGAAGAGATTACATTATTACAAATGGATCACAGAAAATGTTATGGGAAAAGAAATAGAAGGCTAAGGAAAGTTTTTTTCTTTTGTTTGTGGCCGTTTAGATCTCAGAAAATGTTATGGGAAAAGAAAGAGAAGGCTGGGGAAAGTTATTTTTCCGTTTGGCTTTACCTTTGTATTAGAAATGGAAGGCTAGGGAATGTTATTCCTCGTTTGGTTTTACCTTTGAGAATACAAAGTAAAATGGGTTTCGGATATTTATGTTTCTCGGTCTTTATACAGCAGAAAGAGATGAACAAATAAAATTGGTTTGAACATATGTCAAAAAAAATCAAAACCATCATCACTAAACACAGCACACTTGTGAAAAAAATCAAGAAAAAGCATATGAATTATGATAGCAAGTTAGCAACTAACCTTCATGCCACTGCAAAACTTCGAAGCCTGTCACAGTGAGGAGTCGGGTAATTCCGATTCCATTGCCGCCTTTGAAGTTCTATATGACAGTAACGACCAATCACATTCTTGTAATCCCTTACTACACGGTCCTCCATTTTAACCCGAACAGCACTGCCAGGAGGGTAGTCCTGGTCAAAGTCAGCCGATTTGACAAAGTACTCTACTCCGTGTTTCTCTGTCATCTTCCTGAACTGATAGGAGTAACCCTTCTGCAGAGAATACTCAGGCTCTGAAAACGGGATGTAAGCAAGCAAGATGATCAGCAACAATGGCAGCATCTGGAGGAGGATGAGGAAGTTAGGGCCAGATCTACCTGAATCTTCTCTTTGGGCTGGGCCCGAAGCTCTAGTCCGATAAGCGTGAGCTGTTCTAAACAAGTCAGAGTGACCAAAGAATGCCCTGAAGATCTCATCAGGATCAAAATTATCATCGAAAATATCATTCCCGGTTCTCCTCCTCCTTTGCCTGACATTATTATACTGTTCATGATGTTCAAACTGGTCAACTAATCCTGTCAGATCATACTGCTTCCTCAACTCATCATCACTCAAGCACTTAAATGCCTTGGAAACAGTCTTAAACGCCTCCTCAGCACCCGGTGCCTTATTCTTGTCTGGATGAACTTTCAAGGACAACTTCCGATAAGCTTTCCTGATCTCATCAACCGAACAACTCTTCTCCACGCCAAGGATTGCATAATAGTCCCTTTCCGTCTTGATTTGCCTAATCAACTGCACATTCTCTTCAGTGTAATTCAAACTCCCATTTGAAGCCTCATTCACCTTGGCTTTATCCCTCTCATCCTCTGTATTGCAGACATCTCTTTCGCTCCTCGAAGCACCTCGATCCGAGGAATCGATGCTTTCACAGGCAGCAAGAAGATCATCCACGGGTAAATTCTTATTAAGCCGGCGTGCAATTTTGATGAATTTCAAAGCTTTTTCTTTGTTCCTAGATGCAATTGCTTCTTTAGCGATGCCAAAGCACCTCAAAGCTTCTTCCTTGTTACTCTCCATCTTAATAGAAGATTCACATCAATGATACTGAATAACTTCAATTAAAAACCCTAACTTTCTTCTCAAAACCTAACCCCTGGAATCCCTCGATTGTTGTCAGACAAAGCAAAATCGTACTCCGCATTACCCAGCAAAATCAATGATTTTCTGCTCGCCAAATCTAAACAACACAGAGGGGGAAATAATCACTCAAATTAACAACGAATCATGAATTCTTAGCAGCGGGAGTGAACAAAACAGAATCTGAAATATACAATACATGAAGAAAAAAAATTGATAGGGTTTAAAATGTATTGTGAACGCTTAACTCAGAACTTTCAAGAAGACAAAAATTTCAAATCAATAATTTAAAAAAATTGTTCTTACCTGAACAGAATCGAATCCGGTGAATGGCGGAGACGGGAGAGTCATACTCAGTGTTTGGGATTTGGCACTCAGTATGTACTCATGTCTTTAAGTACATACCACAAATATTCATTTTAAGCAAAAAAAAAAATACAATCATATTAGAGTTACATCAAGAAGTATATCTTAACTTGTTGCTCAAAGAAATGTATGGTCACTTTAATTATTCATACTGACACAAAATATTAGTTCAATCAAAGAATTTTGTATTGACATTTTGTGTGATTGCAAAGCACCACACTGACACAAAATATTAGTGCATACCTTCGGGGTACAATTTTTGGTGTACAAATATCACTTCTCGAGAAAAATGTTTATTTCGTAAATCTTCAAAGACAAAAATTTTGATATTATCTTCTATTTTCGTCCTTACTTTACAATAAGATAGGACATGATCGATGTGTATGATAGATGAGTTGTAATTAGAAAATAATACTTGAGATATCAAATTTTACATTGTTAGAACGCGTTTTTTTCGTCTTTTAAAAAGCTTTATGGGACGGAGGAAGTATATATATTTTTTTATTTCAATTGTACCTGCATAAAAATAAATTGTTCATTTGCGAGGAGTACAATAGAGATTTTCGCACGTTTGTAAATATGTGTATACATATTTCAACAAACTTAAATTTTCAATCCACCAACGAATGGTTGAAGAGTTGACAACTCGGAGTTATGTTGACCTTCAAGTCATAAGTTCAAATATTGTCACCTGCTGGGAGACTTTCGATCTTAATCCGTAAACTCAGTCAAACAGGGTTAGTCAAATTTCGTCAAAGGCAAGTTCGAAACACCTATAGTCTAACAAAAAAATATAATTTTTAATTTCAATTATATAAAATGTTCATTTGCAAATAACATAATATTCATATAAGCAATACTTATAAGCAGAACATCGACACTTCCATCCTCTTAAGCAGACCACCATCATCGCTGATGTCATAGTTTTTAGAACTGGCCTGGGGATCGAACCGGTCAAGGTACTGGTTCACTGGTCGGAACGGTGGTTTAAGTGGTCAAACCAGTGGTTCACGCATATTTGAAAATTATATATACACACACACACACACACACACACATAAAAATAATATTTCCTTTATCTGTAAATAAAGAATTTATGATGTATTACTAAATTTATAAGCAATTTAATTATTTGAGCAGTAGCATTAAATTGAAACCAATGCGTATTTAAACAAATAAAAAAATTATAAAAGAAGAGGTGATATTTTTTATTTATAATTTACACAATTTTTTTAAAAAATATTTAAATAAGTTAATAGTTTTGTGATATGAAGTTTATATTAGAATCAATTGCTTCGATATTTTAGACACACACACTTTTTCATTTATAAATAACTAAAGAAAGTAATTTATATCATTTGACTAAAATTATATTAATACACTTGAGTTATTTTACTAAGTTAAAAAATAAAATTTACATATTTAAAAAATAATATTAAAAATTTTATACGTGTAGACTTAATTCAATTTTTTTCAAATAAGTTGTCTAATATTTAAAAATACTCAAATGAAATATTTGCATGATATGCATCTTGTAATACTATCAATTATATTTTTTAAAATAAAAAGAAATCTTTACACAATCTTTTTTTAATGATGAAATATTTTAAAAGATTAAGTGAACTTGTAACAAGCAGCATCATAGCTTAGATGGTAGGAACTTAACTACAAATGTCCAAAAGATCTTGAATTCAAATCCCCACGGTGTATGTTTTTGGGGGAAAATGCAAAAATTCACAAAAAAAATTTGGCCGAGCAGGTCACCGGCCAGTTCGCACTGGTTCGAACCGGTTCACAGCGGTTCAATGCAGGTAACGATCCAAAGGGCCAGACCGGTTGGACCACTGGTTCGCCGGTTCACGGTTCGAATCGGCCGGTCCGGTCCGGTTTTTAAAACTATGGCTGACGTGCCCTGCTTCAACCACCGCCGTGAAGAGCCAACCTCCACCACCGTGCAATAGAATCAAGAGACAGGTTTCGAAGGAATCGTCTAAGGAATTGTGCTGCCCATAGAAGTCATTGTTGCCAGAGGTGAGGTTGCCACTGTTGCGTTCTTTTATTCGTCGCACATATGCTTCCATCTTTCTCTTCTTTCAATGTTATAGTTCGCGCTGCAATATGATTTGTGGCGCTAAATAAACCTCAATTTTGAGTAAGTTTGGCGTGCTCGCATAAAATGTCATAAAAAGGTTATAAGTTTAATTTACGAGATTTAGATGAAATTATTTAATCAATTAAATGGTATAAAATTTCAAGTTCAAAATTATATAGCCGTATTTAAAAACTTTATCAAATATTCTAGAAAATGAAAAACGACACAACTATTTTTTTTAGCTACTTGAACAACGAAAAACTATATGCAAAAAAAGAAATTGTGTGACCGTCTGAATAAAAAAATCAGGGACGGGGAGAGTATGAGATTTTATTTTAATAAAAAATATCATATTTTACTCTTATTTATATAGATCTTTTTATTTGTCAATATGACTATTTTTTAGGGTTATTTACCTAAATATAACTAAAACATAATGATTTTCTCAATATAGGACATAAATTTTTATTTCTCAATGTAGGATCATTGGTCATTATCTATTAGTCATTATTCAACTAAATGTCCAGCATCACTTGGACATTATTCTTCTCGCTAGACATTATTAAGTTCTATTTAGAGAATAAAAAAATTTAAGTCGTATATTGGGAAATGACTTATGTTTTAGTCTTATTCACTGCAAATTTCACTATTTTTTAACACCGGTAGTTATATGATATGTGTGACATATATGTTCACAACCGATCTTTTTAATTTTTTTTGTATATTTTACTACTCATTAAATTGAAAAACATGGTATGATTAAAGAGAAGAAAAAGAAAATGACTTACCTAGTTACTTATCATGGATCTACTTTTTTTTTCAATTATGAAATGATGAGTGAAGTTTAGTTTACTCCTAAAATGCCACAAAGTTAGCTTCAAACTCAAGGGTAAAATTGTCTATTCAAATACTCAAACTTAACTCTTTACTCCCTCCGTCCCACTGTGTTTGTCCACTTACCTTTTGGCACACCATCCAATGCACTTCTTTAATCCATTTTATCTTGTAATTTGTATATTAAAAAATTATAAAAATTATATATTAATAATCTATATGTTAAGACGAATCAAACAAGATCACACGTGACTATTTTTAGGCTTACACATTAAGAGAATTTGATGAGTCAAAGTGCTTAGATGAACAGTTCCAAAAGTCAAATGTGGACAAAGACAATGGGACGGAGATAATATAACTTTAAAAATACAATAAAACTTTGATATTCTATATTGCATACTATTTTGCATATCAAGACAAAAACAGATATATATATATATGTGTGTGTGTGTGTATGTATCTCTCCGCACAGACATATATGTTTATTTTTATCTTTAATGTAAGTAAAGTGAGGTACAATATGAAATAAATTTTTTTCTCTGATCCTAAGATCCAAATGTAAAATATAACTTTTTCACATATTTTATGAAATCGACAAGTAGATCTTTTTTTAAAAAAAGACCCAATCTTCTATAACATCAATGTGTTAGAGCATCTGCAATCATCATACTTTGACTTGCTAAAAGTCATAATATAGCAAGTCAACCCATTTTTCTCTTCTCCAATGGGTGTGCTAAATTTTAACAAGCTTGCCAAAAAATGACTTTGGCTAGCTAAATATAACAAGATTTCCAAATTATAGGAAGCGAAGAATTGTAGAATGGATTAGCAAGCCATGATTGGAGGATAGAACAAAATATCACTTGCTATATTACTATTCACTTATTAAAATATAGTAAACGGGAATGGAGATACTCATAGAGTCTATAAAATAAGCATAGACCAATTTCCACTTGAAATCTCCCTAACATCACATTTTAAAAATAAAAATAAATAGGGAGAATATATTCACCGGTCAACAGTTAAAAAATCTTTCTCCGTATGTTTTCATTTTTAAATGTTTCTTTTTAATCAGAGTTAAAATTTGAAAAGATGGATTGTTTGCTTGCATTTACCACCTATAGATACAGATATTATACAGATACAGATGCAATTTCTCTGTCTGGAAGGTTAAAATTGATCCCTCCATTATCTTCATCTTCTCTTCCATCAAGTTTCCCATTGGTTTAGGGGTTTTGCTGCCCGCCTGATCCGTCGTCAATGGAGGAGACCGGATTTAAAATGGTTTGAATTCTGCACAGATGTCTGTATGGATTTCGCGTGAGCGTGTTTTATGTTAAAGCGTTCGGGCAGGTTTCGGCGCTGATTCGGGCCGCGTCTGATGTGCATTTTGCATGTTTGAAGGGCTGAAAGATTGTTTCTTGTTCGTTTCTGGGATTGATCGGGAGTTTGTAGGTTCTTGGGATTGGATTCTTGCGTGAATGCGTGGATCTGGTATCGACTTTCGTCCCCTTGGTACGTTGCTTTTTCTTTACGGATCGAATTTTGGGCAGTGTGGATTGGATTTGGGACTGGAAATGTGATTCATTTGTTTTTATTTTCCGGGGGAGGGCAGTGAAGAACAGATCTTGAAATTGGCTCCCCAACGCAGGTCGCAGCGCCCCATGGGTGGCCAGATGCAGCAGAGCAATGCGGCGGCAACTGCCCTGTACGATCACCCGGGCAATGCCGCTGGCCCTGCAGGCGATGCTGGAGACGCTGTCATGGCTCGTTGGCTTCAGTCTGCGGGGTTGCAGCATCTGGCTTCTCCCTTGGCATCCACCGGGGTTGACCACCGCACACTCCCTAACATCCTGATGCAGGTAATGATCTATAATATGTGTTGTTTCACTTTCTATATAACAATGACAGCGGTATTTGATTGAATCTGGACTGGGGAATTTGACTCCATGCTGGATGGCTCTTAATGCCTATTGAGTTGGTATAGTTGTTGTTGGACCAGTTCAGCTACTTCATGTGATGCAAATCCCTTGAAACTTTTATCCTTCACTTCTTATTTATATATCGGGCATGCCCAGATAGACATTAATGTTGTAGGCATTTAGATGTTTGTTCCAGAAGTAGTTTTTCCTTTCCGGTATTGTTTTTCTCAAGCAAA